TGCTGGACCCGCGGGGTTATCGCTGCTGCTTTTTGTTACAGTCCTGTACTTCTTGCAGCACATTGTGCTTTTGGTTTGGGCTGGGCTCTCTTGCGCCTGCAACTCGGCTGTATTTTAAAACCAAGAAATGAATGTTTTGGAGTCAGGAGATTGATGGGGGCTTAGTGCTTCTTTGTTCCTTTACTACACGTTTTCCACAAAGGGGTCCAGAAATCAGTAATAACACGCGGCTCGAGAATCCAGAAGTTCATGAATTGGCAAATGAAATTGTGATCTGACCTGATCAGTTGGACGTAAACCCAAAGACAGCGAGTGCGAGTTACCGTAGCGCAGGTGCGTGATAACGAGACAACACGGAAACAGGCTTCTCCCACTTACTTTCTGTGCTAACGGCTGCATCTTAAACTGACGCTTTTCCATCTCTCGGAAGAAGATTCTGGAAATACAGTGTTAAATAAAGATATCTGGGATGACTAAGCCCAGTTCTCTATATTCCAGACAATCTCTGTATTCCCCTTCCAGAACCATTTAATTATTAGGAAGGTTTCTTGCTCCTGTGAACTTCAAGGCAGCCCTGGAGTCTACCGTGTGATGATCAGAAACCTTTCTGTTTCCCATCCCATGATTATTCACAGACATTTTCTCTTGCTGCCAGATTTGTTCTTTAATTTAAATCTTTACTTTCCCTCACATTTACCATCAGATAATCAACCGTGTCTTCTCCCTGCTTTTATTTCAAGGGCAGAAACCAGCAGAGCCTGGGTTTGCCAGCCTGCAGAATAATGCCACTGCTCATCGGGGCCCTCCTTTGCGCCGTCCCTGCCCGAGATCACCCACCTTAACGATCGGAGGCAAAGCGTGCGCTGTATCCCAGGTGCCATCTCTGCAGAGCCTCACACGGGTCGCTCACATGGCCTCGTGCTCCTCAAGATCTCCCTACACATTTCCTAGGATAAAATATTCACCTTTTTAATATCTACTCACACCACGAACATGTTTACAATGGTTTCTTTTCCTCTCCTATCATTTCCTACTGACAGAGCTTCCAGCTGTTAGCAAGAATACCTAGTAATGCATAAATACACGCCTTCACACTCTGTCCTGTTCAATCCTCCACCCGCCATTCCCCTCTTCTTACAGCTAACCAGCTTTTTTTCCCCTGAGCTTACAAATCTGTAATGACAATTTATCAGTCTGTAACTTAGAGATATTACAGCCTTGAAAGTGGATGAGCCATTTGACTAAAGACACAGACCAGGAGCTGAAGTTTATAAAGATTCAAAACCGCAAAGCCTTCCAGTGAACGTACGATTTTCTAACAATTCACAAGCTGGGGACTGCGGGGCTGTGCAGGACAGCTGCGTGCCAGCAGGCTGTGAACACCCTTAGGAGCAGAGGGTGCTCAGCCTGAACCATGACTGGTTTGTAGCAGACACGTTAAAACCTGAATCATTTTGCCTGTACGGCGTAAGCATGAAATGTGAACTTTGAGTAAAACTGAAAACATTCAGCACATGGGAACGCTGGATCTTTTGAGGTGGTCCCAATCACCAACGGTTCAGC